AAATTTTGGTGACCATTGGGCGCTGGAAATGAAGCGAGGAACCTCATTTTTTAACCATTCTTGGGTGGCGCGTGCTGAGTGCGATGGTGCTAAATCCTGTTGGAATGTCGTCCAATTTTGGCGTGCCCAAGGCTTTAATGCACCTTCGCGCTAATATTCGGCATTTATTCTGATGCCACGGTCGATTAATACGAGCGGAGAGCCATCATCGGCTGTTATGGCGGCCCACACCATCACCGGCATGGCCGGCACTTGTGTTCTTGTGGCCAAGAGGAAATGTGCACCTTCCTCTTGACCTCTTTCTCATTTTGTTTGTTTGCTTCTGCTGGGCAACGAATGTTTTCTCATCGGCGACGGAGAAAACCAAATTCGGCAGTTCACCACTTTTGGCCAAGCGAAGCAACTCTTTAGCTCTTTTGAGTCTATTTTCTTTCTGTTGCGGCGGTGTAAGTTCTTGCACTTTTTAGAATTTCAAAGGCTTTACGCCGAGCTTTTTTTTTCAAAAATTGCCGAATGGAATATTGCGATATGTTCAGCTCACGAGTCATTTTCCGGCCACTGTTACGCGGGTTTCGATCAAGTCGCTTCTGTACTGTTCGAACCATTTCTGCTGATGATTCTTTTGCTGTTTTCTTTCGTCCATTTCCTTGATGTCGGGCTACGCTACCAGTCAGTATCACGGTAGCGAGCGATGGTAAGAGACAAAAAAAAAATTATTCACATTTAAATGCTGGAGTGCTCTAACGACAGCCACTTGTGGTTTTCCAGCCAAATATAAAGAAATCACACTATCCCGCTTGAATTCCGAATTTACGAATAACTTTTTTTCTGGAAAATTCTCACCAAAATGCTTTTGAACGCCTGTAAACAATATATGATGAGCTGCCACTGGAATAATATTAACAGCTGTCGGACGAGTGGCTTTGAAATGATTGCAGTTTGAAGTTGGTTGCAGTTTTTTCATCTCACCCTGTAAATAAATATAAATAAATTTTTTCGGACATTACTAAAATATCGGATTTACATTTGCAATATTTTATCTATCCAATTATTTCCAAAAACCACCTCATTCTCTCAACCACATGCACCAGCAGTGTCATCCATATGAAATTTGACGATTTTAGCTCTCTCTCTCTTCACCCAATACCAAATTTAGTACTTTTCGTACAACTATTGTTCATATTTCCAAAAGCACCTGTATATCCAAATTCCAGGTATCAACAGAGAGCTCAATAAATTTAAAAAGCGCTCCGCCGGGAATGGGACAAAATGCCGTAGAGCAACATTCGGGCTGTTTGTGACGGTTTCATTGGTCATTTGAAGGTCATAATTCGTGCCAAAGGTGACCAATTCGAATAAATCTAAAATTATTCTAAAATTTGATTCTATTTCCGACACTTTTTGTTTTCATTCAAAAAGATTAAAAAAAAAAATGTAAAAATTATGGTGTTTGACTTTGTTGCAGTTTTTTTTTATCTCACCCTTATCTTTATCTACACATCTCCGAAACCACTTCCATTTTAGAACATTTCGTAACATTCGTAAAGTTCCAATTACCAAAAACCCCTTTGATTTACTTTTGCAATATTTTATCTAAATTGAATGTCTTGCTCATATTCGGAATTTTTAAATTTCCGAGTTTTTTTCCTATTTTTATACCCTCTACCTTGGAAAGGAGGGTATATTAACTTTGTCATTCCGTTTGTAACATCCTTAAATATTCGTCTTAGACCCCATAAAGTATATATATTCTTGATCAGCATAAAATTCTAAGTCGATTTAACGATGTCCGTCTGTCTGTCCGTCTGTCTGTCTGTCTGTCTGTCCGTCTGTCTGTTGAAATCACGATACAGCCCACATTATTTGACGTAGAGCGCCAAAATTTAACAGAGCTATTTACATTGTGTCTAGGATGGTTGGTATTGAAAATGAGATATATCGGTCCACGTTCTGGTATAGTCCCCATATAACGGTACCTCCCGATATTTGGTATTTTAATGATTTATGCCACATTTTTTCACGGATTTGTCTGGAAATTGGTATTTGTAGGTCATAACGGGTCCCTGAGCGTGTGGCAAAACATTGCATGTATATGTCCACGTTGTGGTATAGCCCCCATATAAAGGTACCTCCCGATATTCGGTATTTTAGTTTTTTTGCCACATTTTTTCACGGATTTGTCTGGAAATTGGTATTTGTAGGTCATAATGGGTCCTAGTTCGTGTAGCAAAACATTATAATTATAGGTCCACGTTTTGGTATAGCCCCCATATAACGGTACCTCCCGATATTCGGTAATTTGATGATTTTTGCCACATTTTTTCACGGATTTGTCTGAAAATTGGTATTTGTTGGTCATAGTCGGTTTCAGCTTCGGTGGCGAAACATTGCATGCATGGGTCCATGATTTGATATAGCCCCCATATAACGGTACCTCCCGATATTCGGTATTTTGATGGTTTTTGCCACATTTTTTCACTGATCTGTCTAAAAATTGGTATTTGTGGGTCATAATGGGTCCTAGTTCGTGTGGCGAAACATTGTAATTATAGGTCCACGTTTTGGTGTAGCCCCCATATAACTGTACCTCCCGATATTCGGCATTTTAATGGTTTTTGCCACATTTCTTTTAATGTTTATTTTACCCTAAGGTGGAGGGTATTAAAAGTTTGGCCCGGCCGAACTTACTGTTTTTTACTTGTTTATTTTGATATTTTCTTCAAAAATTATTTTCTTGGTAATATTTCAATTTTTTATTCCACTGTCCATGATGATATCGAGAAATTTTCCTCCCTCTTTGTGTAGGAAATTTTCCAAGTTTCTTTTTTTTAAATTTTTTTACTACACTTTTTTTTTTGTTGCGTCATTTTTCCCCACTTTGGAATTTTACCCACCAAAAAACCCATTAATCAAATGATAGCCACAAATTTCTCAAAGTCATTCAAAAAGTTGGAGATGCGTGCATTCACAATAAAGTGATTGAAGTAAATGAGATTCAAGAGCGATAAGAGAGTGGCGAAGAAAGGTCTCGAAATAAAAACAAGTTCATTTTAGTTTGTAAATGGCATACAATGGAAAACACACACACACACACACACATATGTATATACACAGAGATGACAAAAAAATTCTGCTTGAACTTGACCTATTCCATTGTAGGCTGTGTTTATTTGATCAAAAAAAAAAAAAAATAAAATAAAAGAGCTGGAAGAACGCCCAATTCAAATATAACCCAGCAAACAATGTAATCGAAATTTAATTCAGAAAAGGTTTCATGGCTATTTTGTGCTAAAAAGGGTACGGAAAGTTCTATAAAGTATATTTAGCACCTTGTAGTTCTAAGTATAACCTCTGTAACTTTGAGTGTTGGGTTGACACCTTATAGTTCTAAGCTTAGCTTCTGATTTTTGGTTTGAGGGTAACTGCTGAAAAGTAGGGTAGATGTATGAACAATGTGTTGGAACGTGGTACTTTAAGTGCTCGAAAAGTACTAAAAGGTACTAAATTGCATACCTTTAGTATTCTGTCATTTGAAATTGCGAACACTTTTTATGCCCCACACCACAAGGTGGTCAGGGTATTGTGTCTTTGTGCATTTGTTTGTAAAATGCAAAAGAAAACGAGATAGACCCATAGTTCCTTTTCATGATCTGAATAGAATCACATTCTGAGTCGATTTATGCATGTCCGTCCGTCCGCCCGTCCGTCTGTCCATGTATTTTTGTAAGCAAAGTACAGGTCGCATTTATTGCCCGATCCAGATGAAATTTTGCACAAATCATTTGTTTGGCCCAAGGACGAACCCTATTGAAATTGGAGATAATCGGTAAAAATTTAGATATAGCTCCCATCTATATCTTCGTCCGATTTGCCTTTTATTGTGCACCAAACGTGTAATATCAGTCCGAATAGTATGGAATTTTGAACATACAACCAAATTAGGCCTGAAAATAAGTATGCCAAATTTAATCGAAATCGGTTCAGATATAGCTATAGCTCCCATACATATTGTTCATCCGACTTGTTATTTTTGTCCTCCGCAGCCGTAATATGCACTCTGTAACAACAATATTTGGGGAAATATATCAAGTGCAACTCAGAAATACATTTGCTAAATTTTATCGAGATCGGTTCAGATTTGAATATAGCTCCCATACATATAACTTCATCCGATTTACTTTTTTTTTGTGCACCAAACGTCTAATATTTGTCCAAATGGGATGGAATTGGGCACATGCGACCGAACTGAGTCTAGAAGCTAGTATGCCAAATTTGGTGAAGATCGGCTCAGATATAGCTATAGCTTCCATATATACTGTTCATCCGATTTGTTATATTTGTTAGCCACAGCCGTAATATGCACTCCGTAACAACGATATTCAGGGAAATATATCAAATACAGCTCAGAAATATTTTGCCAAATTTTATCGAGATCGGTTTAGATTTGGATATGGCTCCCATATATATCTTTATCCGATTTCAAATTAATTGTCCACGAAATGGGCAATACCGAGTCCGAATTTAAGCCAGCCTTATCTGACCCCTTCGGACCAAGAGTGACCCTCACCCAAAATTTCCAGCTCTAGCCTCAGACGTTTCGCCTGGGCGATAATGAATCATTAAATATTTTTGCAAATAGTTACAAACCGATACGTTCAGCTGAAAATATCATCCGCATCATTGTAATAAACTGTCAATTCTCAGAACTGTCCCGTCTGCTATTCTCCTTCTACTTCCTCTCATTTCGAATGTCCGATATGTAAACTCTGGCAGGACGTCGTATCAAAACAAAAACTAATGCCGCAATAGTAAGCCGTAAGCTTGTACGTCGTATTGTAGCTACGGGTTTCTTTGTTTACATTTACAACAATAACGATAACAATAACAACAACAACATTTGTAATATTTGATGAATAAACAATTTTAGTTTTTTTTTCACACAATTACGTGACAGTCTCTTTTATTATTTTTATTTTTTTGTTTTGTTTTTTTTTTTTCAGTTCGGCGAAGAAGCAAATCTAAAGAACACTGCACAAAATGAGTCCACCAGCTTTGTTGAGCAAAGAAATACCGGATATTGAGGTAAATTTGAGTTAATTAAATTAAGTTTTGTAACACGAAAAACATTTTGGCAATTGAGGAACTTATTTAGATAAAAAAAGAAACAATTAAAAAAGCAGTAGGTTCGGCCGAGCCGAACTTTGAATACCCTCCACCATTTCGAAAAAATTTAGTAATTTTCTAAAAAAAACAAAAAAAAAACGTTAAAAAAAAATTCTAAAATTACTGAATGTAGCCGTATATTAGGGTCTATACGAGGACATGGACCTGCATAGGCAACTTTTGTCATTAGCCGGGTCGAACTTTGAATACCCTCCACCATTTGGAAAAAATTTCATAATTTTCCAAAAAAAAAAAAAAAAAACGGTAAAAAAAATCTTAAAAATACTGAATGTAGCCGTATATTAGGGTCTATACGAGGACATGGACCTGCATAGACAACTTTTGTCATTAGCTGTTACAATATTACCAAGCGAAACTTGAAAAAAAATCTTTTTATAAAATCTGTGTGTAATGTAAAATGATCAAACTTCCGAATATAGGGAGGTACCATGGGGGTTATAAAACGTGAACCTGCACAGACAATTTTCTGTCATAGGCTGTAGTATCCATGACCAACTTCAAATACTAAATTTGGTAAATTTAAATATTCTGGTAAATAAGATCATCAAACTACCGAATATCGGGAGGTACCGTTATATTGGAGCTATACGAAGACCTGGACCTGCATAGACAATTTTCTGTCACAGACTGTAATATCCATTACGAACTTCAAATACCAAATTTGAAATAATTCTGGTGAAAAAATGTCCATAAAATCATTAAAATACCGAATATAGGGAGGTATCGTTATATGGGGGCTATACGAAGACCTGTAGGTGCACCGACAATTTTCTGTCACAGGCTGCAGTACCTATTAGGAACTTCAAATACGAAATTTCAAACAATTTCGGTGAATATTGTAGCCAAAATCGTCAAAATTCCGAATATAGGGGGTACTGATATATGGAGACTATACGAAGACCTGGACCTGCATAGACAATTTTCTGTCACAGACTGTAATATCCATTACGAACTTCAAATACCAAATTTGAAATAATTCTGGTGAAAAAATGTCCATAAAATCATTAAAATGCCGAATATCGGGAGGTACCGTTATATGGGGGCTATACGAAGACGTGGATCTGCTCCGACAATTTTCTGTCGTAGACTGTAGTACCCATTAGGAACTTCAAATACGAAATTTCAAACAATTTCTGTGAATATTGTAGCCAAAATCTTCAAAATTCCGAATATAGGGAGGTACTGATATATGGGGCCTATACAAAGACTTGTAGCTGCATCGACAATTTTCTGTCACAAATACGAAATTTCAAACAATTTCGGTGAATATTGTCGCTAAAATCATCAAAATACCGAATATAGGTGGAGGTACAGTTATATCGAGGCTATACGAAGACCTGAACCTGCATCGACAATTTCCTGTCTCAAGCTGTAGTACCTATTAGGAACTTCAAATACGATATTTCAAATAATTTCGGTGAATATTGTATCCAAAATCGTCAAAACACCGAATATAGGGGGGTACTGATATATGGAGACTATACGCAGACCTGGACCTGCATAGACAATTTTCTGTCGTAGACTGTAGCACCACGAACTCTAAATATGAAATTTGAAATAACTCCGATAAATAATGTCGCTAAAATCATCAAAATACCGAATATTGGGAGGTATCGTTATATCGGAGCTATACGAAGACCTGGACCTGCATACGCAATTTTTTTTTGTCACAGGGTGTAGTACCCATTAGGAACTTCAAATACGAAATTTCAAACAATTTCGTTGAATATTGTTGCCAAAACTGTAGTACCCACTACAAACTTTAAATATGAAATTTGAAACAACTCCGATAAATAATGTCGCTAAAATCATCAAAATACCGAATTTAGGTGGAGGTACCGTTATATGGAGGCTATACGAAGACCTGTTGCTGCATCGGCAATTTTCTGTCACAGGCTGTAGTACCCATTAGGAACTTCAAATACGAAATTTCAAACAATTTCGGTGAATATTGTAGCCAAAATCGTCAAAATTCCGAATATAGGGAGGTACCGTTATATGGAGGCTATACGTAGACGTGGGCCTGCATACGCAATTTTTTTTGTCATAGGCTGTAGTACCCATTTCGAATTCTAAATACGAAATTTGAAAAAACTCCGGTGAATAATGTCCCTAAAAATATCGTAAATCGGGAGGTACCGTTGTATGTGAGCTATGCCATATTTTGAACCTATAAAGGCATTTCTCTTCCAGGGGGTAAAGTGATTTGAAAGAACTTCTATTAGGGATTTTCAGAAAATTCCATTGGAAAATGTGGCTAAAATCCTAAAAATGGCGAATATAAGAAGAAGAAAACCTGGACCTATATAGACAATACTCTTGCAGGCGGGTAAAGTACTCAGAAGGAACTCCTTTTGTGGATTTTCAGACAAATTTCATTGAAAAATTTACAATCATCAAAATACCGAATATCGGAGGGTACCGTTATATGGGGTCTATACTATATCGTGGACCGATATAGCCCATCTTCAAACTCGATCTGCCTGCAGACAAACGACTGATCAGTGCAAATGAATAATGTTGCAAAATTCATGAAAATACCGAAGATCGGGAGGTAGCGTTATATGGGGGTTATACGAAGACGTGGACCGACATGGCGCATTTACGAACTTAACCTGCAAAAATTTGCAAAACATGCAAAATGTTAGCCTTCTATTTCAATTCGTGATTATAACAGACAGAGAGGCAGACAGACAGGCAAACGGACATAGGGTCGATTATGAATATTTCGAGGAGTTACATAATATGGTGGAGGGTATAAAAATCGTTGATAAAATATATCGTTGATAATATATATATATATATATTATATTCACCACAATGAATATTATATTCACCGCACTGAATAATATATTCACGACAGTGAAAATTATATTCACCATAGTGAGTATTATATTCACCTTAGTGAATATTCTATTTACCACAGTGAATATTCTATTCACCACAACGAATATTCTATTCACCATAGAAAATATTACATTCACCATATCAAATTTTCTATTAACCATAGCCAGTATTTTAATCACCATTGAAATATTATATTCACCAAAATTTTGTATTCACCACTGGGAATTTTTTATTTGCTCCAACGAAATTATACTCACCCCGGTGAATATTTTATTCACCACATTGAATTTCATACTCGCCCAGGCAGTTTTATTCACCATGGTGTCTGTTGTATATACAACATTTCATATTTTATTCACCACTTGTACACCCCAGTTGATAAAATATATGTATCAAAAATTCGACAAATTTCAATTTCAAATAAGATTTTGATTTTTTTTTAAATTTTTTTTTTTTTTGGATCATTTTACGAATCATTTCTTAAAAACTGCCAATAATTTAAAAATACTATTTTTAAATTATTAAAAAAAATTAACTGTTGTTGCAAAATTGTCAGGCTTAATCCCATTATTGTTGTTTTTATAAAACCAACGTTTGTTTATTATTTCATTATGTTTATGTTTCGGTTTATTTATATTTTTTTTCACAGAATCTACTCACTTTGAATCCCCGCGTCAAGACGAAATGTTCCGCGGTGCCCACCACTGAGACCAAAGTGAATAAAAAGCATTGGAAGCGCAACCCCGATCGCAGCTGTGCAGTAAGTTCAAAGAACTATCATCCCTTTTTATGAAAATGTTCCCTAACAAATTCCTCTCTCTACAGGCCGGTCCCAAGTTGAACAACAATTTCGAAGACATCAAACACACCACCCTCTCGGAGAGGGCTGCCCTCAAAGAAGCTGCCCGTTGTCTGAAATGTGCCGATGCTCCATGCCAGAAATCCTGTCCCACTCAATTGGACATCAAGAGTTTTATCACCAGTATTGCCAACAAAAATTACTATGGTGCTGCGAGAGCGATTTTCTCCGACAACCCCCTGGGTTTGACGTGTGGCATGGTGTGCCCGACCAGTGATCTGTGTGTGGGTGGTTGTAATTTGCAAGCCTCCGAGGAGGGACCCATTAACATTGGTGGTCTGCAGCAATATGCCACGGACGTGTTCAAACAAATGGGTGTCAAGCAGATTGTTCCACCCGGCATTAAGACACCCAAACAGGTGAACAAGAAAATTGCTCTGTTGGGTGGTGGTCCAGCATCGTTGTCATGTGCCACCTTTTTGGGACGTTTGGGCTATAAGGATATTACCATCTATGAGAGACGTTCCTATTTGGGTGGTTTGAGTTCATCGGAAATTCCCCAATATCGTTTGCCTGTGGAAGTGGTGAATTTCGAAATTGAATTGGTCAAGGATTTGGGTGTGAAGTTTGAGTTGAATCGCAGTTTGTCGACCAAGGATTTGACGGTGAAGGTAAGTGAAACAACATGGGGAATATTGTAGTCACCATAGTGACTATTTTATTCACCTAAGTAGAAAAATTAAAGTGGTGAATATATTATTCACCATAGGAAATATTTTATACACCATAGTAAATATTTTATTTACCACAGTGAATATTCTATTCACCATAGTTAATATTATATTCACCACAGTGAATATTCTATTCACCATAGTGAATATTATATTCACCACAATGAAAATTATATTCACCACAGTGAAAATTATATTCACCACAGTGAATATTATATTCACCATTGCAAATTTATAGTCATCATAGTGAATATTATATTCACCACAGTGAATATCATATTTACCACAGTGAATATCATATTCACCACAATGAAAATTATATTCACCACAGAGAATATTATATTCACCACGGGGAATATTATATTCACCACAGGGAATATTATATTCACCACAGGGAATATTATATTCACCACAGTGAATATTATATTCACCACAATGAATACTATATGCACCACAGTGAATATTATATTCACCACAGTGAAAATTATATTCACCATAGGGAATATTATATTCACCATAGTGAATATTATATTCACCATAGTAAATATTATATTCACCATAGTAAATATTATAGTCACCACAGTTATTGTTATATTCACCACAGTGAAAATTATATTCACCACAGTGAAAATTGTATTCAACACAGTGAATATTATATTCACCACAGTGAAAATTATATTCACCACAGTGAATATTATATTCACCATAGTAAAAATTATATTCACCACTGTGAATATTATATTCAGCACATTCAATATTATATTCACCATAGGAAATATTATAGTCACCATAGTGAATATTATATTCACCACAATGAATATTATATTCACTGCAGTGAATATTATATTCCCCACAGTGAAAATTATATTCACCACAGTGAATATTATATTCAACACAGTGAATATTGCATTCACCACTGTAAATATTATATTCACCACAGTGAATATTATATTCACCATAGTGAATATTATATTCACCATTGTAAATTTATAGTCATCATAGTAAATATTATAGTCACCATTGTAAATTTATAGTCATCATAGTGAATATTATATTCACCACAGTTATTATTATATTCACCACAGTGAAAATTATATTCACCACAGTGAAAATTGTATTCAACACAGTGAATATTATATTCACCACAGTGAAAATTATATTCACCACAGTGAATATTATATTCACCATAGTGAAAATTATATTCACCACTGTGAATATTATATTCAGCACATTCAATATTATATTCACCATAGGAAATATTATAGTCACCATAGTGAATATTATATTCACCACAATGAATATTATATTCACTGCAGTGAATATTATATTCCCCACAGTGAAAATTATATTCACCACAGTGAATATTATATTCACCATAGTAAAAATTATATTCACCACTGTGAATATTATATTCAGCACATTCAATATTATATTCACCATAGGAAATATTATAGTCACCATAGTGAATATTATATTCACCACAATGAATATTATATTCACTGCAGTGAAAATTATATTCACCACAGTGAATATTATATTCAACACAGTGAATATTGCATTCACCACTGTAAATATTATATTCACCACAGTGAATATTATATTCACCACAGTGAATATTATATTCACCACACTGAATATTATATTCACCACAGTTAATATTATATTCACCACAATGAATATTATATTCACCACAGAGAATATTCTATTCACCACAGTGAATATTCTATTCACCACAGCAAATATTCTATTCACCACAGTGAATATTCTATTCACCACAGTGAATATTCTATTCACCACAGCAAATATTCTATTCACCACATTTAAAATTCTATTCACTATAGAAAATATTATATTCACCATATCAAATTTTCTGTTCACCATAGCCAGTATTTTAATCACCATTGAAAAATTGGGAATTTTTTATTCGCTCCAACGAATTTGTATTCACCCCGGTGAATATTTAATTCACCACAATGAATGTTATGTACACAACATTTCATATTTTATTCACCACACAATAAATACAATTTATTCACCTCAGATTCTCATTCCCAAATTTCTCTCGCTCTCTCTCTCCATCTGTTTTCCAGGACCTCTTGGCCTCCGATCATGCCGTCTTCTTGGGCATTGGTTTGCCCGAACCCAAATTGAATCCCATCTTTAAGGGTCTCGACGAGTCTATGGGTTTCTACACCTCGAAGAGCTTCTTGCCCAAGGTCGCCGATGGCTCCAAACCTGGCCTGTGTGCCTGCAAGGCCAGCCAGGCTCTGCCACAACTCCATGGCAATGTCATTGTTTTGGGTGCTGGCGACACGGCCTTCGATTGTGCCACGTCGGCTTTGCGTTGTGGTGCCAAACGTGTCTTCGTTGTGTTCCGCAAAGGTTCATCGGGTATTCGTGCCGTTCCCGAGGAGGTTGAATTGGCCCGCGAAGAGAAATGTGAATTTTTACCTTATTTATCGCCCCGTAAGGTTTTGGTAAAGGATAACAAAATCACCGGCATGGAATTCTGTCGCACCGAGCAAAACGAAATCGACGAATGGGTGGAGGATGAGGAACAGACCACCAAATTGAAGGCCAACTTTGTCATATCCGCCTTTGGCTCTGGATTGTATGATGCGGACGTGATTGAGGCCATGGCCCCGGTGGAGTTGGACAAGTGGTCCATGCCCAAGCTGAATTTGAAGACCCTGCAGACAACGGTACCCCAGGTATTCTGTGGTGGCGATTTGGCCGGTGCTGCCGATACCACTGTGGAATCGGTCAATGATGGCAAAATTGCAGCCTGGAGCATGCATTGCTATTTGGAGGGCCTGCCCTTGGACACCCCGGCCGATTTGCCGCTGTTCCACACCGAGATTGACAATGTGGACATTTCGGTGGAAATGTGTGGCCTGAAATTTGAAAATCCCTTCGGCTTGGCCTCGGCTCCACCCACCACCAGTGCGGCCATGATACGTCGGGCCTTTGAACAGGGCTGGGGCTTTGTGGTGACCAAGACCTTCGGTTTGGACAAGGATTTGGTGACAAATGTTTCACCCCGCATTGTAAGAGGAACAACGTCCGGCTACAACTATGGCCCCCAACAGGGAGCCTTTTTGAATATTGAATTGATTTCGGAAAAGAAGGCCGAGTACTGGTTCCGTTCCATTGCGGAGCTGAAAAAGGATTTCCCCACCAAAATTGTCATTGCCAGTATTATGTGTCAGTACAATGAACAGGATTGGACGGAATTGGCCACCAAGGCTGAGGCCTGTGGCTCGGATGCCTTGGAGCTGAATCTTTCGTGTCCCCATGGTATGGGTGAATCGGGTATGGGTTTGGCCTGTGGCCAGGATCCTGTGTTGGTGGAAAACATTGCCAAGTGGGTGCGCAAGGCTGTTAAGATTCCCTTCTTTGTCAAGTTGACGCCCAACATCACGGATATTGTTGGCATTGCCATGGCGGCGAAACGTGGCAATGCCGATGGTGTTTCGGCCATCAACACAGTCCAGGGCCTGATGAGTCTGAAGGCTGATGCCACACCCTGGCCGGCAGTGGGTAGCGAAAAGAAGACCACCTATGGAGGTGTCTCCGGCAATGCCACACGACCAATGGCCTTGAGAGCCATTTCGGCCATTGCCAATAAATTACCAGGATTCCCCATTCTGGGTATTGGTGGCATTGATTCGGGTGAGGTGGCCCTGCAATTCTTGCAGGCTGGAGCCACGGTCTTGCAGGTGTGTTCTTCGGTGCAAAATCAGGACTTTACCCTTATCGAGGACTATTGTACCAGTTTGAAGGCCCTGCTGTATCTGAAGGTCCATCCACCACCACACAATGCCCCCTTCTGGGATGGCCAATCGCCACCAACCCCAAAACATCAAAAGGGAAAGCCAGTGATGCACTTGACCGGAGAGGGTAATAAGGTAAGGGGAGACTTTGTTCTATGGCTAAATTTTGGGGAGAAATTTAAATTTTTGAATTTTCTTTTTCAGACCCTGGGCTTCTTTGGTCCCTATCTCAAGGAACGTGAGGAGAAAATGGCCAAATTGCGTGAAGAAAAGGGACCCATTTGGAAAATCGAAACAGATGATGTTGCCGGCAGTAATGGACAAGATGGCAAGGCCACAGATGGTCACTCCAATGGGGTACCCAAAGTCAAGGATGTTATTGGCAGGGCCCTGCCGCATATTGGTACCTACAAGAGTCTGGATAATAAGCAACAGAAGGTGGCCTTGATTGATGATGTGAGTACTTCCTTGGGAGGAGCCCCATGCATAATTACTAAATTCCTTATCTCTTCCCTTTTCCAGGACCTCTGTATCAACTGCGGCAAATGCTACATGACCTGTGCCGATTCCGGCTACCAGGCCATTGAATTCGATCCCCAAACCCATATCCCCCACATCACCGATGACTGCACGGGCTGTACGTTGTGCGTGTCCGTTTGTCCCATCATCGATTGCATTACCATGGTGCCAAAGAAAATCCCCCATGTCGTCAAGCGTGGCCTGGGAGAGGAGAAGAATTACTTTACACATGCCCTGAGTCCCATGCAGTAAGTAGTGGTGGCGGGGAGCGAAGCGGAGCAAAGTAGAGCCGTAAAACATTCTTGTGAATGCATTTAAATAATTCATTTCTAAAAATATTTTATTTTAGAACAATTACCCAAAGTTTTTTAAATAAATAATATGATATTAATAAAAAAAAACGGTTTTCTTTCTTTCAGTAAAAAAATTTCAAAAAAAAAAAAAATATTCTTTTATTGCCAAATATTTATTTCAAAAAATGTTAGAACCGCTTTAAAAATACGAGTAGACATTTTACGAAATGCGTGCAGCAAAATTACTGTAACTCATGAACCAATACATACACAGAGACCGTTTATATATATAAACCTTAGTAGTGACGTCACCTTTCATGTGACAATTGCAGAAGTAAAATCGCTTCACGCATTCCAGAGAACATCAGTGACTAACACAATTCTACTAATTCATATAGTATACAGATAGTCAATTATTATGCACCCTATTGAATTTTTCTCTTCACCATAGTGAATATTCTATTGAACATTATATTCAAAACTATTTCAACGTCTCCATATGTAAGACCTGGAAACAAACAATGACTCCATTATAAAGTTTCAGGATTTACTACCAAATTTAGTACGCATATTCAAAACAATCTACATCTCTCCATCCCAGAGACCAATAGAATTTAGTACTTTTCGAGTATCTTTTTTAATCTCTCTTAATCTCAGATACGACCGGAAACCGCAAAACCGAATTCTGGGATTCCAGCTCTATCACTTCACCCAATATCCACTTTTGTACCACTTAGTACTTTTCGTTCAACTACAGTACACATTTCCAAAACCAATTCCATATTTCAATTCCAGATACTAACTATTAAATTTTAGGATTCCACCCCTATCTCACCAACCAATACCAAATTTAGCCCATTTCGAACAATTATAATATTCACTTTCAAAATAATCTCAATCTCATATACCTACAGTGACCTTAGTATAAAATTTCGAGATTCCAGCTCTATCCCTTCACCCAATAGCAAATTTAGACCCTTTCAGTACTTTTCGTACAATTATGGTACACATTTCCAAAACCACCTCAATATCTCAATTCCAAATATCAACAGAGACCTCAATATTTAATTTCGGAATTCCACCTCTATCCCTTCACCCAATACCAAATTAAGTACCATTCAGTACTTTTCGTACAATTATGGTACACATTTTCAAATCTCCATATCTCAATTCCAGATACCCACAGAGACCTCAATATTAAATTTGGAGATTTCAGCTCTATTCCTTCCATCCAATACCAAATTTAGACCCATTTAGTACTTTTCGTACAATTATGGTACACAATTCCGTTACCATCTCCATATCTCAATTCCAGATATTAACAGAGACTTCAATATCAAATTTCGGGTATCCTGCTCTATTCCTTTCTCTAATACCAAATATTGTACAATTTTGTACTTTTCGTACAATTATGGTACACATTTTCAAAACCACCTCAATATCTCAACTCCAGATACCAACAGAGACTTCAATATCAAATTTCAGGATTACAGGCCAAATCCGTTACGCAATACCAAATTGTGTACTATTTGGTACTTTTCGTATAATTATGGTACACATTTCTAAAACCAACTATCTATCTCAATTCTATACGCCAATACAGATATCTAAATCAAATTTCGGAATTCCACCTCTATCCCTTCACTAAATACAGAATGTGGTACTATTTAGTACTTTTCGTACAATTATGGTACACATTTTCAAAACCACCTAAATATCTCAAATCCAGATATCAACAGACACCTCAATATTAAATTTCGGGATTTCAGCTCTATTCCTTCACCTAATACCGAATTACGTACTATTTAGTACTTTTCGTACAATTATGGTACACATTTTCAAAACCAACTCAATATCTCAATTCCAGATACAAACAGACACCTCAATATCAAATTTAAGGATTCTAGCCCTATCCTTTACCCAATACCAAATTTAGTATCATTTAGTACTTTTCGTACAATTATGGTACACATTTTCAAATCTCCATATCTCAATTCCAGATATCAATAGAGACCTCAATATTAAATTTTGGAATTCCAACTCTATTCCTTCACCTAATACCAAATTTTGTACTATTTAGTACTTTTCGTAATTATGGTATACATTTCCAAAACCACCTACATATCTCAATTATATATGCCAATAGAGACCTCAATATTAAATTTTGGAATTCCAGCTCTATTACTTCACCCAATACCAAATTTTGTATTTAGTATTAGTACTTTTCGTACAATTATGGTACACATTTTCAAAACCATCGCCATATCTCAATTCCTGATATCAACAGAGACCTCAATATCAAATTGAAGGATTCTAGGCCTACCATTTTACCCAATACCAAATTTAGTACCATTTAGTACTTTTCGTACAAATATGAGATGCATTTCCCAACCACCGCCAATGCCAAAATTACTTTCCATTTCCAACTGATTATCTTAACAAATATCAAGTTTTTAGCTCTATCCATTCACATAATATCAAATGGTATCATTTTAGAAGTTTAGTACCATTTTAGAATTTTTCATAAGCTTAAAGTTCGAATTTCCAAAAAACTTTCGTACATCTATTCTGCATTACATCAGCGATTCCTATTCCACATTTTAGTATTCCAGCTTCATCGGTTCTTCATCACAATTCCAATTTTTATCAAATTTAGTACCATATCGTACAGGCTGAATGTGAATATGAATTTCCAAAACTTCCCACTAACCCAATCCTACACTCCGACAGTAAACTTATTTCAAATTATCAGGATGTTGGCTCTATTGGTTCACCCAAATCCAAATTATACCAAATTTAGTACCATCTAGTACGTATAAGTACAAATTTCCAAAACTACTTACATTTCCCAATCCTATACTGCGACAGTAATCGTATTTCAAATTTTCATGAAACCAGCTCCATTTGAAGGCTAATAGAAATCTTATTTTCAAATTTCAGGATTCCAACGCTACCGGTTTACCCAAAATTTAAATTATACCAAATTTAGTACCATTACTTTTCGTGCACATGATTACATCCTTGACTCTGCCAGTAATGTTACTTTTAAATTTCAGGACTCTACCTTCAGCCGTTTCGTCGGGGAGTTGATGAATCGTTAAATCAGTTATTAATAATTCAAAACATTCAACTGTAGACCTTGTGTATGAAAACTCAACGTGACATCTGGTTAATATAACACAGACTATAAACTCTCAACAGTTAAATACTAATCAGACTGGTTTATGCCACGACTACAAGAAAGATAATTTTAAACACATTTTGGTTTGTGTCGTTACTGTGGTAAAACTCTCCTTCCTTTCATGGCACAGTGGAAGATTTTAAATATTGTTTTTTTTACTTTTATAACGACACCATCAAATTTTAAGTAATCGAAAGGTATACCAAAAAGAGAAGTTATAAATTCACTTTTCAGAATTTCCGAGAGAACAAAAGCTCTTTCTGCAGAAAATGGTAAAATTGTGTTCACTTTTTATCTTCAGCCACAATTTCCAACCAAATTGGTCTAATGTTGTCTATTTCCATTGAATATCACCATAATATTTGCATCAAAGTTTCCCAAAAATCTCGAAAATATTTTCTAATTTTTTGATCAATTTTCTTTTGACTGAAAGTAACATGAAATTTTGTTGTTGGCGGATATATATATTTTAAAAACCTAAGATTTTTCGAATAATAAGAAAAATCACGATATAAAATTGATAAAATCAAGATTCAAAAAATAAATTCAATTTGGATGTTCTTAAAAAAATACCTAATTATCCACGTTCTTTTGGTGTTGAGAGATTTGAAAAAAATATTCTTGAAATAAAAAAATATTCATAAAAAAATTTATGCACCGATCCTTGAAAAATATTCATTAAAATCTACGTTGTGTTTGTCCAGAGGTCGTCGAAAATACATTCTTAAAGTTCTATGTTTTTTGGATCTTGAGGTTCCAGACTTTTCTTTTAAATTTGGTTTTTTTATCTTGAAATGGGGCCCCTGAAAATATATTCCGTTGATAAAGAAGCTCTCTCTACTTAAAATTCCATATTTAGCTGTTCCAAACGTCCTTGCAGGTCTAGAGGTCCCTGAAAATATATTTTAAAAAATATTCGGTCTAGAGGCCTTTGAAAAATATTCATAAAATTGCACGTTTTCTTTTTTTAGAGGTTCTGAATATCCTTAAAATTATTCTTTACAATTTTTTTAAACCATGTTTTGTTGGTTTACAGGTCGTCGTCAAGAGGTCCTAGAAAAATATTAAAAAAAAAATCACTCTTTGTTGGTCTAGAGGTACTTGAAGAATATTCCTAAACCCTAGAGGTCCTTGTAAGAATAATGAATTTATTTTAAAATCTACGTTTAGTTGAGACAGAGATCCTTGAAAAAATATTCTTAAAAACCAATGTTTTGTTGGTTAATAGGTTCCTGACTTTTCTTTTAAAATGTTTTTTTTAATCCTTGAAAAAATATTTAAAAAAAAAATTGAACTTCAGTTGAAATCCACAAAAAATGCATATTTAGCTGATGTAGATGTCCATGAAAAATATTTAAACAAATCCAGTATATTTCGATCTAGAGGTCTTTAAAAATTCATATTTCATTTGTTTAAAAAAAAAATAACATGTTTTGTTGATTTACAGGTCGTGATCAGTTGTTCTAGAGGTCCTCCAAAAATATTTAAAAAAAAAAAACATGATCCTACAGATCTTTGAAAAATATTCATGAAATTCCAAGAGATCCTTGCAAAAAGCAAAAATACTCTTTAAAATCTACGTTTAGTTGATCAGTTGTTCTAGAGATCCTTGAAAAGATATTTTAAAAAATCCATGGTTTGCTGGTCTAGAGGACCTGGAAAAATATTCATAAAATTCTTAGGACTTAAAAATATAAATTTAGTTGATTCATAGCCCTTGAAAAAATATTCAAAAAAGTGGAACTTCAATTGGAAATTATATTTAGCTGTTCTAGATGTCCTTGTAGATCTAGGGGATCTTGAAAAAATTTCAAAAAAAATCCGGGATTTTTTCGGTCTAAAGGTTGGTTTACAGGTCGTCGAAACGTTCCTTGAAAAATCCAACGTTTGTGGGTCTGGAAAAATAATCTTAAAATTCCTAAGCCCT